GAATTTTAAAAAGTTGTTCATCTGGTTCTTTAAGAATGATTGTAAATATTTTTTATTGAGTGTCAAAGAGATCCATTAAGAGCTTATTGCTACAAACATACAGCACAAAAAGATCATTTTTGAAAAACCAATACAATAAGAAATGCATGAAAAATTAAATTAAATTGGTAATCAAATAAATGTACAATGAAATAACACTGAGCTCTAATTTATTATACATTAATCATCTCCTGAAAGATAGTACTCAGTGACTAAAAGAGTCCAAAAAAAAGTAATTTTATACATTGCTGACAAAGACTAAAATTTTTGATAGTAATGAAATGTTTTTCAGAAAATATATAAAAATGATATTAACTAAATATCAGTTCTAATTCCGAGAACTCTCACTAAGGATATAACCCACAGGATGAGAAGACACTGTAGATGCAGATTTTTATTATAGTATAATTTTTTTAAGATTTATTTATTTGAAGGCAGAGTTACAGACAGAGAGAGAGAGACAGAGAGAGAGGTCATCCATCCTCTGGTTCATTCCCCAAATGGCCTCAATGGCTTTAGCTGGGCTGATCTGAAGCCAGATGCCAGGTGCTTCTTCCAGGTCTCCCATACAGGTGCAAGGGCCTAGGCATTTGGGTCATCTTCTACTGCTTTCCCAAGCCATCAGCAGAGAGCTAGATTGGAAGTAGAGCAGTCAGGACTAGAACTGACTCCCATATGGAATACTGGCACTGCAGGCAGTGGCTTTAACTGCTATGCCACAGCGCCAGCCCCCCAAAAATTATATTTTAACAGTTACTATTTTCCTGTTGAGACCAGGAGAAGCACCTGGCTCCAATGTGCCGGCCGTAACGGCCACTGGGGGGTGAACCAATGGAAAAAGGAAGACCTTTCTCTCTGTCTCTCTCTCTCTCACTGTCTAACTCTGACTGTCAAAAAATTTAAAAAGGAAAAAAAAAAAAAAAGATGTCATTCTGTTCATCCCTTTTGGGCTACTTTGTCTTTAATTCTTAGGAAGGGCTTTTTCTTGTTACTTCGTACTTGTAACAGCAACTCTGAAGTGTCTATCTTGACTAGTACAACATCAAGCCAACCAGGAATGAGTTCTCGTTGCTATTTTTCTGGATTATATATCTCACGTTCCTCTTTATTTGCAGATCTAATAACATCTGTGAAATCCGGACATTAAAGATATTATATTGTGTTCTTCCATGGATTTTAAAAAATAATTGTAACTTTCCTGTATTCAAACTGTAACCTCACTTTTTCCCATGGAAAGCGGCAGCTGATAACAGCTTATTATTTCACAGCATCCAGCTGCTGCTATTGGCTTTGTCCACTGAGGCTGTCCACTGTCACTGCATGGTAATCAGCTGGAGACCCAGGCAAAGCATATTTTCACAATTTTAAGTTCACATTACCATGATTACCCTGCTTCTGGAAATTCATTCTTATATTTCCAGATGTTCTCGCAGCTTCAGGCCCATTGCCCTGCTGTTTCAATCTAATAAGTCTTTATGTTTTCCCTTGTCTGATCTGTGTATGAGTTAGGGAGTGCACTTAGTTTAAAAAAAAAAAAAAAAGGAAGACAAAGCAAAACAAAAACCAGAACATGCACAATCTCACGTCATGACTCTTTCAAGATTGAATTCCCCTGTGGTCTTTGTCTGCTTTATTGGCCAGACATTCAGGACTCTGCTTTGTAAATCAGGCCATCAGTTGGGGATTTCTGCAGAACTTAATACACATTTTGGTTCTCACCACTTCTGCAGTTCTCTCATTTACAGAATTTACCTGTGAAATACGCACTTGCCCCTCTAGGACTGAGTTCTTTCTTTTGCCTCCTGGAGCTGGCTAGGCAGTAAGATGATGCCTTCTCTGGAGTGTGTGCTAGGGGACATTCTCAGGTATTTCTTACCCTTTGTAAGTACTTGGATTCAAGAATAAAATTTCCTCAGGCTTTTATTTGCATTTGAATACTTCCTATTATCTTTGAATAGCTGTGTGGTTTTAAAAACATTATGTCTAGATTTTATAAGTTTCATTTGTGGGAAGATTCTTGGGACATCTCTTTGCCACCATTATCAGAAAACCACCCAACACCCAACACAGACCACCCATATTTGGTCCCCTTCATGGACCAATTTCTATAGCTGCCGTTGCCTTTCCCTTCTGTAATGACATTGAGACTTGAAGTTTAAATAGTTGTTTTTAAAGGGTTCTACTGTTAAATAAATCTTGGAAAGACCTTTCTACTTGCACTCAATAGATCTGCATTCTAATGTTGTTTAATTTGAGCTGTTGCTTCACTGCCCTGTATCATTGCTCTTTCTTCTAAAGAAATGGGATGAGACAAACAATAATTTCTGTTGAAATGTTCTATATTTTTCTCCTATGGCCAAGTCATTAAACATGACCTCTACTAATTTACAGACATAGGAATTGCCTAGGCTAACTTCATCCTGCTTCAATTTTCCCAGAAGAGAGGCTACTTGTCAACTGAGATGTTCTCATGAATTGAATAAAGCATTTTATCTATTGTCTCTATGGCTCTTTACATCCTGTTTTCAATTCCAATGCCAAAATGGTCAATAGGCTCATTACTCTCAAGGTGAATTTTGCAATGTTCTCTAATTTCCCAACCAAAGTGTCTCATTTTTCTTCCCTCGATTTGCTGTCAATTTTCTCCCTTTCTTTGTCTCTCTGCTATCACTCAACTCTAATTTCCAATTCCTTCGCAGGATTTTTATATCAGGTTGCATTGTTCCTAAGTAAAAGAAAAACTACCATTGTCTGTCTTGGCTCAGAATATTTTTGCTCTTTGCACAAATCAAAAGATAGATGCTGAGCTGTATTTTCTCTGCTGAATGACAAAGTCAACAAAATAAGAAATATGTCAAGAAAAATATCAGGTGTTAGCTAGAGATGGAAAATAACAAAGTGAACAAAGTGTAGAAAGAATTCTGCCACAAATGAAGTCCTCACAAGCTATGAGTCAGTTTATATCTTTATTTTCTTGCCATATTTATGGAAAAGAAATATTCATGTTATTAAGTCTAGCATGCTATTTGCTACATGTATTAAATATATGTTAAATTACTTGACCTTAAAATAAATGGCAAGAGACAGTGAAGAAACAAACTGTCTCCTATTCACTGTTGCCACCAAAAGTCATGGGAAGATGGAAAGCTCTATGCAGAGTTGACTGATCATTGGATTCGGAAAGTAGGCATGTCTGTGGGCCAAGAGAGTGGATGTGCAACTCAAGGATAAACTTCTTTTGAAGGTGAGAGTATGAGTGATGAGTTAGAAAAGGAAAGGTCAGAGATGTCAAGCAATTTGTTTGGCTATTTTTCCCACTAAATAAACCAAATTACTTCTAATTACTCGGATTTGAAATCCTATTGTGTGAAATACCTGCTCGTTCTGACAGTTCAAACAAGCTTAAGTCATTTTTCAGTGTTAGTAAAGGATCAGTTGCCTTCATGTCATCAGGATGGCAATACCACAGTACATTTTCCTTGTATGTATTGAATGCACAGCCAGAATATATTAATTTAATTGTCATGAAATTGTGAGCCAAATATTTAAAAACATGTTCATTTCAATTTATTTATAATGGACACTGATATCAATATGTGTTAATTTTATATATATAATATTTAGATTGTGTGTGAATTTAGAATCAATTTATGAAAGAATTTAAAATATTATTTAGAAATCCAATATATATTTTAAAAATATTTATTTATATATTTGGAAGACAGAGTTACAGAGGAAGAGAGATCTCCCATCACTAGTTCACTCTGAAAATGTTCCCAATGACCTAGGCTAGATCAGTCCAAAGCCAAGAGCCAGGAACTCTATCGGGGTTTCCCATGTGAATGGCAGGAGCCCAAGCACTTGACTCATCATGTGCTGCCTCTCAGGTTGCCTTACAGAGAGCTGGATTGGCAGTGAAACAGCTGAGAGCCAAACCAGTGGTCTCATATGTGCTGTTGGCATCTCAATGGCAGCTTAACCTGCTGTGCCATATCACTGGCCACCCAACTATCTATAAAAGCAAATGATGTCTTACCTGTTGAAAAAATTTTAAGCATTAGTTTTCTGTTAGTATTTGTTCTATAATTCAGTCATGCTCCACATATGATGTTTAGACCAAATTCAGCCTGTATATATCACTTTGGTTGCATAAGAGTACATTGCTCAGTGATGTAAGACAGCCATTTTAGTTTTGTAAGTATACTCTGTGATGTTGACACAGCAAGTTTATCTAAAGATGCAGTTTTCAGAACATGTCTTCACTGTTAAGCAATGCATGACCGCAGGTTGATTTGTCGGTTGCTGAATTTCTGAAACTGGATTTAAAAATAAAGCAAAGCAGAATACACCAAAAACTTTCCTCACATGACCTTTTATAGATACGACTTCAATCATGGATATTTTACATGAGTATGGTACTATATTTTGATTTAATGTGAAATATGGACATGCCAGAGTTTTTAAAGGATAGACTCCTTATTTGCTTGTTAATGAATACAAGGCTGGAGATTGCAGAACCCAAATCTGGATCAAAACCCCTTATCATCCAATCATTTTGTCTGGTGACAGGGGCTAAAACGGGGGAAGATTTCCTAATAGCAGCCTGAGGTGGACATTTAGGAAAAGAGAAGTATATTTTCAGTAAGAAAGTGTAAACTTTTTTTAAAAAAATCATTGATATGTAGCCAACATTAACATAAATGTGCGTATTCAAGCTAGTAAACTTTTGTATTTATAAACTATCTTTACAATTATCACTAATGTGTGAAACACAATGAAGTATATTAATATTGGTTATATTGACTTTAAACAGATATGATGACTATGTTGCTACAATTTGAAGCTATCATGTCTCTACATTTATCCATAATTATAAATATTATTTATCTAAAATAAATGCTTAATAGAAATTGTTTTTCTAATATATATATATATTTACTTACCTTTCAATACTTAAATTTCAACAGCTCTGGACAAAGATAAATATTCTGCAAAAATGGTGGACCATAATCATACATATGCATGGTAAGACTGATAAATAAACAAAGAAAGCATGTGAATAAGAATAAACTCATGGGGTGTGTCTGTGTAACCCAGAAGTTAAGGCACCTGCATCCCTGGGTTTGATTCCTGGTTCTGTCTCTTGACTTGAGATTCCTGCCAATGTAAACCCTAGGAGGTCATAGTGATGGTTCATGGAACAAGCTTCCTGCTACTCACATGGGAAATCTGGATTTTGAATTTTTGACTCCAGGCTTCATCTGGGGAGTGAATCAGTGGATAGAAGCCTTTTCTGTTTGTATGTCTCTCCCTCTTCTTCTTCTTTTTTTTTTTTTTAAGATTTTATTTATTTATTTGAGAGGTAGAGTTACAGACAGATAGAGGGAAAGACAGAGAGAAAGGTCTTCCCTCCATTGGTTCACTCCCCAAATGGCCGCAATGGTTGGAGCTGCACTGATCCAAAGCCAGGAAAAAGTTGCTTCCTCCTGGTCTCCTAAGCGGGTGTAGGAGCCCTAGGACTTGGGCCATCTCCCACTGCCTTCCCAGGCCACAGCAGAGAGCAGGATTGGAAGAGGAGCAGCCAGAACTAGAACCAGCACCCACATGGGATGCCGGCACCTTAGGCAAAGGATTAACCTAGCACGCCACGGTGCCGGCTCCCTGTATGTCTCTTTCAAATTGTTTTTTAATTAAAAAAAGAAAAGAACTTTTTAAAAAAGAGACAGTAAACTTATAATAGTACATGCAAGTATTGGGGAGGTTAGGATAAGGAAGGGGTCATTATGAATGAGAAATTTTACTCAATTTCTAAGAAACAGAAGGAGGAGAAATCAAAGAGAAGAAACAAGTGGAAGAAACAGAAACTTGAGGTGGCTTTTGGGCACAGTGAACTTGTCGCCAGACTTTACTCCCCCAAAATAATCACATGATATTTTCCACATGTCCTGGGAAGTTGAGCACAGCTTCAGAGAAATGTTAATCTCTATGTGGGTATTATGCCCTTTGGCAAGGCTTGAACCAGAAAGCCCAGAGCCACATGAGTAGTCACCCTGCCTTGCACATGTAAAGTGACTACAGTCAAATGCCACTCCTGGATGACCTGCTGAAGGAAATGGCTTTATGTACATAAGCCCACAGCACTGGCCACATTTGCAAAGGAGTAGCTCTTTGACAGATTTCATCTGCCTTTTTGAGTATTTTTTTCTCATTGGAGAGTTCAGTTTTAGTAATATATATCTTCTTGGAAAATTAATCTTTTCATTATTGTTTTAAAATATTTTTTCATGGAGTTTAATCACAGTCAATTTTGATTATTTAAACTTTCTTTAAATCTGTGGCTATTTCCTCAACTACATTTATTGTTTTTCTTCTTTTCTTTTGACTAGGTTAAAGTTTGAACTGTTCCAATTAAAGTTATTAAAATTTTTTAAAGATATTTATTTCTTTGAGAGGTAAAGTTACAGAGAGAAGGAGAGACACGGAGAAAGGTCTTCTATCCACTGGTTCACTCCCCAGATGGCCAAAATGGCAAGAGCGGAGCCGATCTGAAGCCAGGAGCCAGGAGCTTCTTCCAGGTCTCCTATGTGGGTGCAGGGGTCGAAGCGCTTGGGCCATCCTCCACTGCTTTCCCAGGCTGTACCAGAGACCTAGATCAGAAGAGGAGCAGCCAGGACTCAAACCAGCTCTCATATGGGATGCCAGCACTGCAGATGGAGGTTTAGCCCACTATGCCAGAGCGCAGGCCCCCAACAGTTATTAAATTTTGTGTTACTTCATACATTGCAATTCTAGGTTGATGATGATGGGATGATGCTATATTTGTTTTATTTTAATATTTAGATTATATTATTTTCAAGTATTTTAAGGAGTAAATACTTTTTTCAAACAAAATTTTCAGTAGAATCCAAAAATATAAATCAGATTAAAGAACTATTTAACTAGTAAAACTTCCATTTATATGCTTAGTTAAGACATTTACTTATTAATGACAATGAATTTATGCTTTACAAAAACTGTTGAAAACTACAGTCAAGGATTATAGTGACAAACAAATCTGCTCCATCAGCCAATGAAGCTCTGGATCATTTTTAAAGCAGTTGCAGCTAACAAAATCTTTTATTCAGTCACTTTGTATCCTTGAAATATTCTTGAATTAAACTGAGCAGAGTACTTAAATAAAGAGTGGAGATTTGTTTCCATGTCACTTATTAGGAATGCTGTAATGATCTATTACAGTTCTTGTTTTGGAGGGAGGCAGCAAGCAGTTTCTCTAGCCAATTCATGTTTCTATTTTTAGGAACTGATTTTTGTTACAGAAGGTATTCAACTGTACACTTGTTTTTTTTTTTAAAGTACATAGGTGGGGGTAAGCATTTGGCAAAGTGGTTAAGAAACCTCTTGGGGTGCCCAAGTTCAAGTCCCAACTCTGATTCTTATCCAGCATCCTGCTAATCTCGCAGTAGGAGGCAGCAGATGATGACTCAAGCACTCAGCTTCCTGCCACCCAAATGGGACACCTGGAGAGAGTTCCTGGCTCCAGACTTCTACCTGCTCCAGCCCCCACTACTGCAGGCATTTGAGGAGTGTGTCAATATATGAGAGATTACTCTCTGTCTTTCTCTGTCTCTTGGCCTGTCAAATAAATTATTTTTTTTAATTGAAAAAAAAAGCACATAGATGAAGCTATCAACTGTTAACGAAAATTATCAATAGGATCACAAATATGAGGGATCTTCAAAAAGTTTATGAAAAATGTAAAAAGAACTATGCATTGGTTTCTATTTTTTCCACCAAAATAAACAACTTTTAATTTAATTTTCCACAAAATTTTAAAGTATCCTCATATTTAATTTTAAGTTGAATTTGAATAATTTTAAAATTTTTTAAAAAATATTTATTTATTTATCTGAAAGGCAGAGTTACAGAGAGAGAGAGAGAGAGAGAGAGAGAGAGATCTTTCAATCACTGGTTCACTCTACAAATGGCCACAAGGCCAGAGCTGGGATAATCTGTGGCCAGGAACCAGGAGCTTCCTCAAGGGTGTACCACATGGCTGCAGGAGCCAAAAGACTTGGGCCATCTGCTGCTGCTTTCCCAGGTGCATTAGCAAGGAGTTGAATGGCAGTGGAACAACCAGGACCCAAACCGATGCCCATATGGGATGCTGGCACAGCAGAACAAGGTTTAACCTGCTATATCACAGTGCCAGCCCCTAAATAGTTTTTTATTTTTGTAACTAAGATTTTGTTTGTGGCTTAGATGTAGCAATGTATATTGTCTACTTGAGCTGGTTTAACTCAATAAGACATATAGTAGAATATACCTTGGGTTTTTAGAAAACTTTTTGGATACAACACTAAATGTGTGAAACATGAAAGAAAAATTATGAACTTGGGCTCCATTGGAAATAGAAGCCTGTGCTATGTAAAGGACACTAATGAGAGAATGAAAAGACAAATCACACACTGGGAGGAAATCTTTGTAAGCCAAACATCTGATAAAGGACTTGTGTTGAAAGTACACAAAGGACTCTTGTTTTTAAAAATAAGATATATTTATTTGAAGGGCAGAGTGACAGAGAGAAAGAGGGAGAATCTGAGAGAGAATGAAAGAAACATCTTCCAACTGCAGTTAACTCCCCAAGTAGCCTCAACAGCTGGGGTTGAGCTGGGATGAAGCCAAAGTCAGGAACTCCATGCAGGTCTCCAACATGGGTAGCAGGGGCCCAAGCACTTGGGCCATATTCTGCTTTCTCAGGAACATTAGCAGGAGCTGGATTTGAAGTGGAGCAGCCAGAAAAGGAACCAGAGCTCTGTTATGGGATGCCATACGATATGGTGGCTTAACCTACTGTGTCACAACACAGCCCCACAAAGGACTCTTAACACTAAAGCACAAAACAACACAGTTTAAAAATGGGCAAAGATCTGAGCAGACAGCCCATTGAAGATACACAATGGCAAATAAGCATTTGAAAAGATACCCAATATCATATGATATTAGGGAACCGCAAATTAAAATGACCAGGAAATAGACTGCACACCCAGCTGCTAAAGATGCTGGCTTCAAGTCCCATCAGAGCATGTACGATCAGGTTTCTTTTTCAGAGAGTGAATACTGTCTCCACAGAACCTACAAATGGCTCTCATAAACTTCATTGTACAGGATTACTTCAGGGTAGCCGTAATATTTTGTATGTTTTAAACAACTCAATTTTTAGCAATCAATGCAGTCATTATGTTTAAGATTTAAAGTTTTTTTTTTCTTCTAGCCAATCATTTGTACTTTTTTTTTTCCTTAATCGGCTGCTATTTTCAATCAAGTACAATTGCCTGAAAGTTAGAGTCACATTCCACTGATTAGAGTTGTCTTCTAATGATTAATGAATCAGTCTGAAATTCACACTATGCTTATTTAGACCATGATAGCATCATTCAGTAATGAACTTTTAAGAGGTTATTTATTTCCCGTTGCCATATTTCTAATCAAGTGCTCATATGCATAATGAACGCGCTTCAAGCAAATCTGTTTTTTGCCTTGTTTACAAGAGTCATCATCATGGCAAACCATGAGCAAGTTGAGATGAATTGCCTAGACAGAGCTGAATGTGAATTAACTTAATTCAAGGATTCATAAACAAGTAAATACAATTGTCTTTCAAGTGCTAAGAAAAGCAGAGAAAACAGAAAGTGAAAAGGCCGTGGAGGGAGGGAGTCTGGAGGGTGTGTTCAAAAACTAGCAGGGAGAGTAGCCAGAGAAGAGTCAGTTACAGGAAATCGGTAGGTGGTTAAGGCAAAGAGATACTCAGGGAGACTGGGAGGGGTTATGGAGACTTTACAAGGTTTTGAGCAAGGGAGTGGCAGGACGGTTCCTAAATTTAAAAGAACCATTACCTGATATGTGGAAAACAGATTATACGCAAAAAGAGGAGAGACCAGAGGACTGCAGGGTGGAGACTGTGGCTTTACCAAGGTAATAATAGTGTATAGGTGATCTGATTCCAGTTATATTTTGAAGGAAGAGCC